CCAACAATTTGCAAATTCGTCGGAGACTTCAGAGGGTATTGAATATATAACAGAACGAGGACAACGACGTCCTGCCGATTGGCCCAAAGAATTCTCAGAAGAACCTATTAAAGAAGAAATTAAATTAAATCCGGGTGAAAAAGCTTGGATTAAAATAGCCAAATTAGATCATTTTCCGGATGATGGCGGACAGGTCGTTAAATATGGGGACGTACAAATAGCGATATATAATACACATAAAAAGACTCAATGGTATGCAACACAAAACATGTGCCCACATAAAAGAGCATTCGTATTGTCACAAGGGATAGTAGGTGATGAAGACGGGACTATTAAAGTGAGCTGTCCGATGCATAAAAAGAACTTTGCATTGGAGACAGGTGAATGTTTATCAGGAGATGTAAACTTGAGACTGATGACCTTTGATATCAAGGTAGAAGATGAACATATTTGGTTACATCTTCCACCAACTCACGAACTTGATCGATTACTTGGAACTAGCAAATGGAAGGTCACCAAAAATGGGAAAAAACAAAAAGAAAGAATAATGGACAGATCAGAATCAAAGATCCAGATGTTAGGAACGACAAATTCTTCCGGTTGTGCAGATGTTTCATGTGGTGATAAGAAATTGGATTGGTAATCTTACGCATTGAAATATGTCCACAATAGATTAATACATTGATCACACTTTTTTCTTTACACTTTTCACTATTCTTTTAATACTTATAAATGTTTTATATTTATTTACACTTATTTAGTAACGCGATATTAGTAAAAATAGCATGTTATATTACATTCACATATACGAAATTTATAGTTTAGCATATTCAATAAAATCTAATAAGGTGTATAACACTATATATGTAGAAAAGTCGAAATACTCTCTTGAAAGATTGTGCGTTTTGATGTAATAATTGTAAAACAAATAAAATCAATATTCTGTATTATACAAATACATTTTTTTTTTTGTCCCGGGAATGTGTAATATTTTAAATGAGGATCTCTTTAAATGTGGGCTTTGCCTTTTTTTTTTTTTCTTCTTTAAGGTAATTTTACGATCAAACAGAACTCTAAAAGTATACAAAGATTTTTTTGAGCCATTCTTTTTCTTTTAATAACATAGGCGGCGGTGAATACTAGATATCACCTTTTTCTAATATCCATGTACGT